TAAGCTCGGTCGCGGAAGTGGGCTGAGTAGCTCGGTTGAGCGCTCAAAGGAGTGCCTGGGCAACCTAAAGTCTGCAAAGTGAAAAAACAAAGGTGTTAAGCACAGACCGTTGGACCGTGCTAAAGAGAAATAAAGGCAAGATATTTCAAATCTAAGCTAGGTTATGTGAAATGCTACGTGTCTTAGCCCGTTTTGTGCAAAGGTTAGTGTTAGCCCGGTTGAACCTCTAGGGGCAGCGCTCTTAGTTCGATTTTAACTACGAAGGCTGGGTTAGCCCCAAGTTATAGCTCGGTCGTGGTTAAGACTAACAGACGCACTATTACGCAGACTTAGTGCGGTTGGATAGCTCGGTTGAGTTAAAACAAAAGATGGCTTGACTTGTTGAAACTATTGTTATAACGTGAAGTGTTAGCTCTGTTGAATGGCCTAGCTAGAGTGACATCAACTACAAACGACTTTTTAGTTCGGTTATACAGTGATTTTGGATCAAAATCAGTGTTTCAGTTTATTCGTGAAAAGCTAGAGGTTCTATTACACGAAAGAAAGGTATGTGTTTTGAAAAAACACACAAAAAACATGTATTGTAAAAGCAAATGCGAAAAGAACAAAAAAAAGGTGGATTTGAGTAAACTTACCAGGTCAAGAAGAAGAAATCAGAGATGGAAGCAACAGCAATGAAGAACACGAACTCAGCAAGATCAGGGTTGAAGAAGCTCAAGAACGAGAGAGAGAGAGAAGAGGAAATGAGTAGTGTGGCGAGTGATTCAAAAAACAAAGAGTTTTTGTTTTGATGCAAGGACCAGATGCGGGAACTGTTCAAAATTCACGAAGTACAAAGACGGCGTGACAGCTGCATTGGGCCAATCAGAGGGGCCACGTATCATAGGAATGAGAAGCGATTCAGTTGCTGTGATTGAAGAGACGTTTTGTCTGGACGGCTAAAGCCCGAAATGAGTTTAGCTCAGCTGGAAAGGCTAAAAGAATTTTAGCTCGGCTGGAAAAGCTTAAAAGCTTAGCTCAGTAGTTAGATTAAAGTTTTTAGCTCAGCTCGTAGAACAAGGTAATCCCTATCATGCTGCGCATATGGAATTAATGGGCAATTGAGAGGGAAATTTATATGAAAAGTGGGCCAAGCTGGGTAATGGGCCGTTATGGACCGCAATACGGAGGGCAGAGTAAAAAGGCCGTGAAGATTAGTCTTGTCCCAGAGCCTTGAAGTTAGTCCGGTTCCAGACGGCCCTAAAGTTAATCCGGACCCAGAGAACCTAGTGTTTTCTCAATCCGGGAGAATACTACGGGTAGCTCGGTCCTAGGATGCCGCACACGGAGTTAGTCCGGTCACGGTATAGCGCATCTAGCTCTATCGGACCTAGCTAATGGTTAGCACGGCCTAAGCAATACTAAGGTCAACGCGGGGAAAACCGTGGTAGGAGCAGTGAATGGAAGAACCGAGGTAGAGTTATCTCGGTCTAGCCTGCGGCTTAGCATAGCCATGCTTACCTCGGTCATGTTAGAGTCTGGTCATGGTAAAACCATCTCACTTGGTTTAAGTAGTGAAGGGGTGCTGAAGGATAAGCATTATCTTTTAGGAGTATGAATTCTAGGAGGACTCTACATGGAGGAGTAAGAGTCCTATTAGGATTGTGCCACGCGGAACCTATAAAAGCTCATAACATCACCTATAGAGAGGTAACACACAACTTTGACTCCCGAATTCATAGTGCTTTTTGTCTGTTTGTCTATTTGGCTGAATTAGGCATCGGAGAGGTATCCGGCATACACCCGCCGGCTAGCTCACGTTTGTGTTTTCAGGGAGTAAAGCGACGACGTACGGAGGAGCGCAGACTTGATCAACAGGATTATACGGGAAGAATATTTCGTGCCCGTACACGGTATATTAGTGTTTCTAGCATTAGTAACAAGTTCAACTTTAAAAATTGATATGTTATCAATTGAATGACTATAACTAATTCAACACTAGAAAAACAAATGTTACAATGACAATATATATATATATATATATGTATATATCAAGGATCAACTCTTGGAAGACAGATGCGACGAACACTTCCAATCGAGACCTTGGTTTGACAAGTTGGGCACTTCCTATGAGCTCCAAGCCTTAACAATGCAAGCTTTGTAGAAAAAGTGGCCACACTTGATTGACAATTATTCTTTTATTGTATAGATGCATATTGTGCAAGTAAACTTCAGTTTCTCTGCTGTTGGTTTGGTTTGGCTACTTGATGCATTTTCAATTTTTTCCTTTTATGTATGGAACTATTATTGACATCATTATTGTCACAATCACTTATAAAATGAATCAAACTATTAAAAACTTAGACTCGTGTTTAGTTTGTTGTTGTTTGATTATATATAAAATGGAGAAGGTATGTAGTATCAAAGTGGAATTGGAAAGAAATTATACGGACCATTCATGTAATTTATTCATTATATTGGTGGTTATAATTTTTTTTGTTTAAAATTTTCAATTTCACACCTCTAGTTTTCTGCGTATTTTTTTTTTTCATTAAGTTCTAACGATAAGTGATAAAGAGGCAACATTATAAGAAAACTAAAAGTGTAGTCCAAATTATTTAAATTGAAATTTTGAGGATCATATTAAAATTTTGCTCAAATTAAAAAGACCAAATAGTGTAATTTATCTAATAAATTAAGAAGAAACTAAAAACATAATGTGGCAAAATCTTCTTCAGTTAATGGGCCACTGAAAGGAAAACACAACGTAGTCTGTTCAAAGCAACCATAAATATATATATATATAATAAAAATATTAAAAATAAATTATGAACTTTTGTGAGTAACAAGTAATAAGGCAACATAAATACCGTGAGAGATCACATGATACATATATATATATATATATATTTTAAGAGTTAACGTATCATATAAATATGATTACACAATTAAAAAAATGAGTTTAGATAACTATTGTACTCAATAAATCAAACCAATAAAATAAAAAAGGAGCTAGCTGATGATTATTACCTCAAGTACTCTTGGAGAACAAAAGGCAAGTAAAAGAAATAAAATTGTTGGGAGGGAAAAAATGAAGAGTAACGATTTAGTTTATATTTCTGATTAAGGGTTTTAAATATCGGCTGATATGTAAATTGAACTTTTGATTAATTATTGATATATATTTGTAAATATTATTTGATATTAGTTGATATATTTTTTGATATTGTTATTTAAAACTACACTTCTAAAAATTATACCAAGTTAATTATTGCATAGTTGAAGATAATTTATTTATTAAGTAATTAATGGCTTAATTATCATTAATATATTCTGCAACCACTCATTGTTGCAAGAAATGACAATCAATAGTATGTACAACAATGATTCATCTCACTAAAAAATCACCACTAATAGCATTAATGTATTAAAAAAAAAAATAAAAATACAACTCCAAAGCCAAAACATCACATCATTAATGGCGAGACCCACTGCCACCTAATTAGTGGGAGCACTAATTAGTGCTCCCAAGCATTTTTCTAGTACGTAAGTGGTACACAGACACAAAACATAAAATGGGACACATGTCTCACATAAATATGGTCTACGTCATGTGGACCCCATATTAAGGAAAACACAATCAAATGACTTGATTGCAGCAATCTTTGTTAATTATAAGATTGTATATAGTCAATATAGTCATTCTGTTTTATTCTATATTTGTAAATACATAAGCAACGCGATTTGGTTCCTTGAACTTCTTGTATAAAGATGTACAAATTCCTTAATGGAAGATAAGGGAAATTGATTCAGCTTTTCAATTTCTTCACATGGTATTAGAGCAATAAGCTCTTGGTGACCTAGAGACTCTACATAAACACAAAACCCAGCCGTTTCTTCCATGTGAGACACACAGGAGAAAGGAAGAACTCCTCAACTAACCATGACCAAAATAGCCAAACATGAATATGTAAATCATCCACTCTATCTACATCATTCAGATAAACCTGGTGTGATTCTTATATCTCAGCCTTTGACTGAATACAATTATAGCACCTGGAGTCGTGCTATGGTCATGGCATTAAGTGCCAAGAACAAAATTGGATTTATCGATGGATCGATCACGAAACCAGACAGTACCTTGGTTAGCGAGTTGCAACGATGAAATCAATGCAATAATCTAGTGAAATCAAGACTATTAAATTCTCTCTCCAAGGATATCTCAGCTAGTGTCATCTACTATGATGTGACTTACAAGATTTGGATAGATCTGAAAGACCTTTTTTCCCACGATAACATTGTTCACTTATTCCATATTGAAAGTGAAATCCATGACTGCATTCAAGACACCAAGTCAATCGATTCTTATTTTACCAAGCTCAAGGGATTGTGGGATGAGCATTATGCCTTTTGCTTGATCCCTGCTTGCAATTGTGGCACCATGAAAACAGTTTTGGAAAATCAACAAAGTCAAAAGGCCATGAAATTTCTCATGGGACTCAATGAATCCTATGTTGCAATCTGAGGGCAAATCTTATTGATAGATCCATTTCCTACAATCAATCGAGCATATTCACTTGTGCTTAAACATGAACGACAATGTGATGTTTCAACTGAGAAACACTGCAAGAAATTTGACTTTTAGCGGCGTTTCAAAAACGCCGCTATAGGCTTGAAAAACGCCACGATAGAATTTTGCGACGTTTAATATTTTCGTCGAAGATACGGCCGTCGCAATAGCTTAGCAGCGTTTCAAAAGCGTCGCTAAAAGATATGACGGCGTTTTTTAAAACGTCGCAAAAACTTTAACAGCCACTTACTTTTCCGTTAATGATGTAATGGTGACATCATTCAGCGACGTTTTTTAAAAAAACGCCATCTATTTTCATTTTTAATCCTTGCCACTGCTGCGATGTCATGATGACATCATTTAGTGGGATTTTTTTTCAAAAAGAAGTCTTTTTTATTTTTTTAATTTTTTAAGAACACAGCCCAATTAATTGAGAATTTCACTAGGAATAGAAATTGAAAATTAACCGAGAATTTATATAAATTTAACTAGGAACAGAGATTGAGAATTAACTAATAATTAATATAAAAGAACATAGATTGGCTCAAATTTGAATTACAATGCCAAATTAAAGATCATAAAAATTCTAGTTCATCTCCTTGGAGATTTAACCCTACAACTTTCCAAATCTCAATCATATACTGTCAAACAGTTTGAATTTTCTTCAAATCAGCCCCCCATGGTTGCCATGTTGTTTAGTGCAAACCTAAGGTCAGAATCTCCATTTTCTCCATGAGAATACTGATCAAGTCTGCTTGTACCTACACCACATACAACCTTTATAAAATTAAACAAGGAAGAAATTGGTTACCAATAGGAACCATCTGAAATGAACAAGCAACACGCTTGAAATCCTCCAAGAAATACCCACAAGGCAACTTCCCCGTAGCATCTATATCACCCTTGATATATTCCGTTCTCAAAAATAGCGCACCACCTGCACTCATTAGAATTTTACATTATCAGCATCCTTACATAAAACAAGATGCTTGAATGCAATTCACATAAGAGAAATAGAATTTTATTCAAAACGGAAAATCAAAGGCAAAAGTTTGTCAATTATTACAAACATCCAGTAATTTTCCATGCAGGAAAACTGCTTAATAGATGACATAATTTCAGCAATCAGCAATCAGCTATAATGCCAAAATAGTAATAAATCAGATCCACAGACCTGTAATTTTGTCAAGTGAGACCGAAGGGTACTTAAGAATACATCACGATTCTACATCAGATCTTCAGCAACATTACCATCATTTGCAGATGTCAACTCCTTTTCAATTATTTGTGGATGTCCATTCTGTAAGTTTCCAAGTAGCATGATAAATATTCAAAAGATTACTTGACAATTTGGGAGAAAGCAATGTTCAGAAACAAAATGATTTTGCAAGTTCCTGGTTGATTTCCCTATTTACCTATTTGAATAACTGTCCAAAAAAACCTAGTTTACATATAGATACGACACACTTCTCTTTTATGAGAAGTAAGAAGAAAAAGGAAAGAAAATAAAAGAAGATAAATACAGTAAAAAAATGTGCACAGTGAAAAAAAAATGAATATTAGCAAGAAACAACAAACTTTTCAAGATTATTTACATAGGCTTAGCACTGAAATGTAAGAATTGATCAACCATCATCTAAGGTGAATTCAAATGTCAATTTTCTCTCTGCACTACAAATATGAACATGATGGGAAAAGAAAACCCATCCATCAAAGACAAACTTGAAAACAAAAAGGACAGACAAAAAAAGATAATGCATTCTGAAGCCACTTTGTGAAATCCTAGTGCTGATTCAATAGTGTCAACTCTATAATGGCTTCTATAAAAGACAAAGCCATTTAACCAAGCAAAATATCTTCTGATGTAATGTTGGCAACAGGGAAAGTCTTTTGACAGGGTAACAATACACAAACATAATTTACATGTATTCATTTATTTGAAATTAAAAAGCCTGTCACTAGGAATCATACATAGCACACAGGAGGCCGAAAGTTTAACGAGGGTCTATATCAATTATCATATTCCACTAAATATAAGCATAGTTCACTTGGCTATACACAAATTACCCAACCCCTGTACATAAGAGATAAATAAAAGCGACTGGTTCTATATTCGGTGGTTCAAACAATCACAAAGAGTGAATCAACACAAGGAACTGATTCGGCCTGATAAAATTCCATCCAGTTAAGGTCTCCATGATCCCAAGAAGTAAATTCATGTTTACACAAAGCGTCAATTTTTTTTTTTTTTATAGTCAAACAGAACAACACTCAAAACAATTCATTTATAAGTCATAATCAGATAACTGATAATTAAATAAATAGTTTGTCCAGCCTGTAGAAAAAAGCATTTATAATGCAAATGCATTCACTAGCTCTAGCAAATATGACCAGTCTTGCAAAATCATTGATATGTCGAGCAATACCTGTCCTCCAGGCATTAAACTGTCGACAATAGACTCCACTAAAGGCTTTTGCAAAACCCTTCTTTTATGATATTTTTTCTTGAAATGAGGGTCTGGACACTGCCAAAATAACATACCAACAATTATAAGTTTTAATTTAAACAACAACCATACAATCTAACCATTAAAGAAAATCCTTCCTACATGAAAATGTGAAAAGCATTTCTCATAGAATGTTCCAGTACAAGAAGGGGACTCACCGGGATGGAAACTAACATCAAGGGTCTTGGGTATGACTATAAATGAATTGTTTATACCATGCAATTATACATTAACTCAATCACATAAGAAATCTGCCACTACTTGGAATTTTTTATGTCATTAGTGCAATTCAAGAAACAAGTTTGCATACTTCTCAGTCCATAAATTAAATCTAACCTCAGAAAATGAGGATTAACAATAATTTGAGCATGAATTAGATGCTGGTCATCACATGTAATAATATAGACATCAAAAATATATTTTCTCAGCTGCAACACAAGAAAATAATCATTTGTATCTGTATACATTAATTATATGGTTTAACATTATCGAGAGAATTTAAGCCAACTCCTGAACTGACGAGAAGGTTGTTCTTAATTTTCTCTCCTCAAAGATGTCATTGTATTATATGGTTTAACATGACAAGCGATAGTAAAGGTTAGGTTAGTTACAACATCCATTGGCAAGATCATTGTTAGGTACACCCCAAGATATCATCCTCCCTTTAAATATCTACTACTGTTTGTACTCTTCTTTTGCCATTACTTCCCCATTTTGCAGACCCTAGGAGCATGCCATTGATCCGAATCAAACGAACTCTTCATATAACAATTGATTTAAAAAGATGAAGCAATAAAAGCAAGCTTGGCTCAGAAGCTCTCACAGAATATATGAAGGATTTAAAAATTTAGAGAAAGTAAATTGATAATTGTTAGTGGACAGGAAGGTCAAAGATTTAATATTCAAGACATACAAATTTATACTCTTTTTGGCAGAAAGGCAGGCCAACTTCAGGAGGTTGTGGTCATTTAGTTTATGAGTATTACTTCACTCCAAGTACAAGTAATCTACAACTCAACAAAGTCTTATTCTTATCTGTTATATCATTCTATCTATCGCAATGTTCAACACATTTTCATTGCATTCCCAATCACATTACACTACTATCATGATATTCATAGAACCTCTATTAAAGAAGTCAACTAGGAAAGAGGAATCATTTAGGTTAACTTGCAATCTTGACATTATATATAAAAAGTGTATTGATTGTAATGAGTGCACAACTTCTAGTAATTTCGCTGTAGATTGCAATATTTTATTTAAAGAATGCAGTTATCATTAAAATAATAACCCACCCACTAATGCAGCTACCCCTGGCATACTTTACTTTCTTTCACCAACAACCACCTTTTTTTTTTCCTTTTTCATGACTAGCAAAACTAGAACAAGATTTGAAAGTCTTGGTACCACTATTTTATAAACCCCAACAACTTTCATCTAAATAACCATCAAGAAGTGAGGAGGAGGTAAGCTCTTTGACTTCACACTCACTGAGATTTCTAAATGAATTCGATTCTATCAAACATGTCTTTAAAAACTGTGTAGATAGCATTTGATAGCAAACCTACATTCATAACTTTAACTGAATTTGTCCCTTCAGTGCCATTGAGGGGCTCATTACTTGCAAATAATTGAAAAAAAATCAATATTTTGAGCAACAAATTATTATTATAATGACGTATATATGTAATCAAAAGCTCATAGGTTGTGTACCTATTGTTGAACTCATAGGATTTAACACAAGGAATGAGAAATCAAATTTAAAATGTATGTAGGGAACAATGTTTAAAATTCTATATCCTTTGACAAGGCTCAAATATAAATGGCATTGATCTGCCAAAAATTCAAAAATGGAAAATAGTAAGAGAATTCAAGAAATATTGGAATGACATGGAGTTTAAGAACATGTTGTTTCATTATATTAGTCTTTCTTTTGAAGAATTTCAAACTGGAAAGGAAATGAAGTTTTCAGAAAGCTTTTTGACAAACAAATTTCAAAAATTAATTTAGAAAGAAGTTTCATCAAGTAATCTCCCCCTTCTTTCTGAAAAAGGTAAACAACTTCCAGAAATAGAACCAATATGCTAAAATTATAAGCAAAGTTCCGATCTCAAAATATAGGTTTATTAACACAATTGGTAAAGAATCCCTAGATTTCATTTTCCAGAGGAAAATCTCACAAAGCAACAATGAAAATATAATGGAATGTGCAAAAAGTTTAGCTGAAGGTGCTATCAGTTTAGAACGGGTCAACTTCCAATCTGATACTGGTTGATCAAGTTGATAGACAAAAAGGTCAAGTATGTCTCTGAAGTCAGCAGAGATCAATACCTAAACATAAGGGACTGAGGCAGAAATAAATCATACCGGAAAAGCACATGATGGAGGAATATTTCTTCGAGGAAGAAATTAAAACTAGATGCCCATAATTCCAAGGGCAGAAACACTTAATGTTAAAAATCTAATGAATGGAAAGATGCAAAAAAATTATGTAGAGATTTTTTTTTGTTTCTCTTTAAGTGTGGCCCCAAGGAATATAATACCATATTGAAGATTTATCACTATCATAAAGATACGGTAACATCAATGGACATGTAAGATATTGATATCGGTTCAGAACAATTAGAGACATTAATGTAAATTTATAAACACCAAACAGAAGATCCAGTCATTATGTTTACAACCTCTCAATCAACACCATATTGCCAATAGATGAATTCAAATAAATGAAAATGAAATCCAAATATAAAGACATTTTTGGCTAAACCCCAATTAGCAACTTCCATGTAAAAATAAATACTTACTGTCCACGTATATATTTTGTATTTCTTTAGTCTCGTAATCTAGAGACGAGCAGCGGAAATGTGAAGCATTCCTTTGACTCCCAACTTTTGCCAAAGAATTTTCCCAGAGATCACATTTCTGCTCAGAGCGGTTAAGTTGACCAAAAAAAAAAAAAAATTAAGGCTATTTCATTTACCAAAACAAATCAAATGAGTTAAAAAGAACTAGATGAAAAAAGCTGCTGAATAAACCTGCAGTACATGGGGGCATGGATGTGTAAAGGCTATTTCATTTACCAAAACCAATTCATAAAATTTTAAAATGGAAGAGATCAGAACCTTTAAACTATCATCCAAACCACAAAACAGGGCTCTACCATCTAGGTGAAAGGCAGCGAAGCATGATTTTTTTTTTTTTTTTTGTCATTTCACAGGCCAATTTGTTAGCATTGTATCATGCAATACCCAATTTATACTAACAAGACTAACTACTTCATACTAGTAATCAATTTATCATCTTCTCATGGCTCCCACATCAACTGGGTTGAATCTCATTCTCACCCATAATCTGAATTTAAAAAATATAAAATAAAAAAATTTAAGGATTCTAATGTTCTTCCTTCAAGACAAAAAGGAATAACATAGTCTAATTACCTATGTTCATTAGAAATACATAAAATTATGTTCTACCAATATACAAACATAGATTGAAAAAATTGAAAATAATGAGATTGGAAAACAGAAAGATCAAAGTGAATGAGATTCTATTGAAAAGAGAGCAGACCAAAAATATCAACTGAAAAGATTAAAAAGAGTACAATTCGACTGAAGAGAGGTCAGATCGAAGAGCAAGGAAGATAGTAAATCATGTGTTCGAGACCAGATCTGATGGAGCAAGAGAGAGAGAGAGAGAGAGAGGACGAGACCAGAGGGGTGGTAACGACAGGAGAACTAACATTAGGAGGAGCTTCAACAGGTAGGGCGCATCCAACGCCATTATGCTCGAAACCCTAGATAGAATCCCTCCAGAAACCCAGTATTCATGATCTCGTCTCCTCTCGACCAGTCTTGGTCTCGATCTGTGTCTCGATCCCAATCCATGATCTCAATCCTTTTTCACTCCTCGGTCTCGTAACCTCGCGTTCGTGCAACTCAACCGGTCCATCTTCCTCTACAAAATTATCAGAATTAGAATCTAGAAAAACAAAAAATGGTCAAGAAATTTCAACCAAATCGATTCAAGAATCGATGGAATTAGAATTAGATCTGAACAAGTAATCGAAATCAAACTTGATGAATCTCTCAAGGAGCCTGAGGAGAGACACAGAAAACCCTAGATCTAGAGAAAATGATAGACAGAGAATGATAAAGTAGGAAAGAGAAATGGAGACAGAGCACCATTATAAAGTGAAATGTGTGCTTATAAGAGGATAACGCGTGTTTTTCACTTTACACCTTCCACGGCGTTTGTCAAAAAACGTTGTCTAAAAAACGTGGTTATAGGCAACTTTTGTTGTAGTGTAATGTAGATGGTGAATAGAATCTTACTGTATGTTAACCCCAAAAATCTTAAAATCTTACTGTATGTTAACCCCAAAAATAATGAAATCACAAATTTCAACAATGTATTTCATAACTATAAATTACATTAAGTGAAATGTTACACCATGTCTTTTGATTCTAAATATGATGTAGAACATGCAGTGTCAGTTAGTTTAGGCATCCAGTCAAAGTTGCAAATTTGGGCCAGAACCACCCATGTTCGATCTGAAACAGCCCAACAACAAAAATTCACTACTTCACCGTGACCTAAGCCACCAAAGTCTCTCATTTTGGCTTCCAAATTCACATTTGTTCCTCTTTCTAGAAAGTTTTAATTTAGTTATGACTTAATTTAGGAGGTTTCATTTTTTTTTTTTTTTTGACAATTTTCTTATACTTTATAGTATCTCAGTTTGAATCTAATAGAAATTTGCAATTGTTGGTGCTTTTGTTCATTATTCTATGTCTTGTTAGGAATAGGATTATTATTTTATATCAAGGGTTGTAAACCTACACTGAAGTATCTCAGTTTTAATAATATTGGTCTTTCAGTGAGGCTTATTTAATGGTGGATCCCGGTCCTCAGAATAATATGCAATAAGGTGTTCCTACAATCAACATAAAACAAACACCCACAGACTATTAACATTTCAATGCTAACATCCTTCACCCAAATCGGTTCTAACATTTCAATACTGCCACAGTTGAACCAGAGACACTCCGTTTATATATTAAGACCAACATTACCCTCAGCGTGGAACTTTCAGATGATTCAGCAAGCAATGCTTGCATCAACTCTTCCTTCTCCAATGCTAACTGCAAACACAAAGTCCAGAACTCGGTAATTCTAAAAGTATACTCAATAATATTACTTCAATTATTTCATCAGGTAACCAAAAATATCAAATATGAAAAAGGGAAAAATATAGATATCAGAACCTTACAAAAATGAAATAAAAAAGGTTCATCCTGCAAGAAACACCTGAACTGAAATCTATATAAAGAGGGAACACATGCTACCTCGGAAATTAATGTGTTAATGTTTTGAATCGTTTTCATTTGATCAACTGGAATATTTAAAGATGAAACTTCAAGATTGAACTGTCTATTTTCAGGGAGCAACGAGGAACTGGAGGCTTCACTTCTGAGAAAAGGTGCAGTACTGTGCATTTCCTGGTTTGAGGTATCCGCTGAAGCATCTGCATCGTCCTCATGGACTAAATTAACAATAAACACAACCAAAAGAGTGATCAAATTCATAGAATGAAAACGACTGTTAAAGCACAATCAATATCCAATAATCACTAGTAATGATACAAATACATCCATGGCTCGCATGGGAGGCGGAGCATGTACACTCAAGGGTATTCAATAGAATACCCTGATGTTTTTTTTTTTTTTTTTAGGTTTCATATATGTTTATCAGTAATGAATCAAGATTTTGAATACCCAATTCTTAGATCTTGAACACCTAATTTGTTGATTCCAATTTTTGCACACCCAACTCACATTCCACTTGAGTAATATTCAAGATCAAAAAACTATCCTCAAACAAAAAAGAAAAAGCCTAATACTATAGAAACCAAACATAAACTCGAACACAAAAAATGTAAGAATAGAAAAGATTTTTCAAAAGTGCACCAATCAATCTTGTAAAATCTCATCCATTCATACATTTTGTGGTACTATGTTTGATATCTGTGTTCCTATTTATTTTTCAAATAAAATAAAGGTACCAAACAAATAGCTCTCTTAGTAAATATAGCTCATGTCAAATTAGGACATAAAATTTGTAAAGAATTGATTGCGTAACGAAATGGGATATTAATGAAAAAATGATTGTTTAGTTACTTACATTGAAAATAATTTATTTAATAGTATTTTGCTTGTGATTTGAGAAGTTCAAATCGGAAGATTTATTAGTAGTGGGAAATAACCACTGACAAGTGTATTCTTTTTATACAAATTCTAATTTAAGTTCAAGTTTTTGAATACCCTAACCAAATTTTCTGGAGCCGCCACTGATGGCTCATCTGCCCGTAATTGAATCTTATACTTAAAGAACTTAAAGAATAAAATAGTCCATTAACATCTAGCATGAAAGATATATAATCACAATGCCAACTGCAATCATCAAAAAATAATTCTTGGTTTCGAAACTATGCTGTAAGAGCATTGAAACAATCCTTGGTTTACAAACTCGCTTTGACACATGCGATTCTCTTGGCAGCAACATAAAAGTAGGTTCCACTTAAGCCTTAAGCTTCAATTATGCCACAATCTAATAAAATTTATACACCAACACTATGTATATATAAGGCTAACGAATAAAAATAAATAGATATACTCAAAATAACTCATGAACAGATTTATACTCCTAAATAACTCAAACTCCCAATTATTGCTGCCTTATCGATCTTCATCAATTCTCCCCACTAAGAAGAACTCCCATATGGAGAATAAAGAGAAAGATAGCACTCAAATTATTCAGAATTAAAGTACCAAAGATTGTCCTTAACAATCGGAGTGGCAACAGTGATGAAGCCAGAGCATATTATTCATATATTTCAAATCAATGATGAACCCAACACCATTCCAATTAGAAAAACTTCAATCACTTCCGATTCCTTTGAAACCAAAAATAAAAAAATAAACTAAAATAAAATAAACTTGAATAATAATTTGAAATTTTTTTTTCTTTTCCTCTAACACTACTATCTACTATCACTGTATTGCATCTCTTCACTACTATCTCTGTTGGTATCCATTGTATATGACTAAACTATCTCAATCTATTATCTCTCAACTTATCTTCTATCAATACTATTCATACTCATTCTCAAATATACTAATTCCTAACTCCGACTTTTCTAGTTTTGTCACATATCCACGTTAGTATTCTCATCTCAGTAACACTCATCTTATCTATATGTTGTTTCTTAGTTGCCCAACATTTCGTCCCATAGAATATCGTTGGTCTAATAGTCGTTCTATAGAATTTCCCTTTTAGTCTAATAGGTACTTGTTTATCGCACAATACTCCAG